TCCAGTAAGCTCTGTATCCTTCTCCTTGCATACTCATCCAGGCTGATTCTTTCGTTCTTCTCAATGTCCTTCACAACTTTCTCGGTTTTCTCTTCCTTTGGGATTTCTCCTCCCCCTTTGCTTGTAGAAGGTATCTGCTTTTCTTTTCGCCTCACACTCGTTTCTTGAGCTACAGTCCTTTCCTCGAGATGTGAGCTATCGCTCGCATTTTGAGGGCACTCTTGGGCTCGGTAATTAGTATTCTCTGATTTCATTTCTATTGCATCGACTTCCATGGCAGATTCATCCCTATTATCAGAAGTAGCGCAGTCCATGGCTGCTTCACTCGAACCAGCTGGCTGGGCAAGTTCATTTGTGGCGGGTGTATTTTCAGTCACTTGAACTGGAGGTGCAGGTTTTGATTTAATTTTAGGTAGCGAATCTGAGTCTGCTGCAGGAGCACCCCTAAATGCATCAGTGGAATGACCCAGTGTTGCAGAACTCTGTGGTGTGGTGGACGACGAATCCATTTGATTTGGAGGGGCAGCAGGAGTAGGAGTTGGTGCAGCAGGGACTTCTGACTTGGCCTCTGGCTGGGTTTTCTTTGGAGGAGGGGGAAGTTCAACGTCTCTGTGCAATAACCTAGGATATTTCAAATTTATTAAAAAATGTAATTTTGTTTTGTCTTTATTATAAAGGGTACAAAATGGGCAATGTGACATTTTTAAATTTCCAACACAACACATATCAACTGTGTAAACAACAATGCATACAATGACTGCTTAAGATGACAATTTGCAGTATGTTATGATACACGTATGATGAATTTCACATTCTTATGCTCATATAATACTTACGGTATTTATTCATTTTTTAATTTTTTTTAAATTTTTTAAAATATTTAATTTAATTTATTTTATTCCATTTATTTATCCATTTATTTATTTATTTATTTATCATTATTATTTATTTTATTTAATTTATTTTTTTGGGGGAGGGGGGAAGAGTCTGGGATTCTATGTACGTCTTAAACAGAATTGTAGTTTGAGAGATACTCAAGCATGTGAATCGATGTCGCCAATGAATTCCTGATGATTGTTTAGTTATCTGCTTCAGGTTATGTTTGTAAAGTGATAAGAAAAGCTAGCAATCACTTACTCTAAAACAGCATCACTAACAGCAGCAACATCAACAAGTGTACAAGGGAATAGTATACAAATATTGACTGCTTTGAGGAGCACAGTTAAAACTCTTGAAGGTGATCTTCAAACTGTACTGTGACCCAAGACGAAGTTACAGGGCAACAGTGCAGGCTCAAGATAACCAAGGAGCTATAGTTTTAACCTTGACCCAGGAATTCAGAAGTCAATATTTGTTTAATATACTGCATCTTGCTTCTTGGTCCTCAAAGTAGAATTTTTGACAAAATATCCCATTACAAATGTGGGGAAAATCGTCATTCTCAAAGAAGTTCGCATATCCACTGTGCGTATCCATTGTTAACTTCACTTGCATCCATTGCATCCTTGCATTGCACGTCCCATTAGAACTATGCCCAGTCAATATTTTTTGCAGTATTGCCCAGCAGTCAGTAGCAAATTTCATGTCTGTAGTTTTTACCAATCAGAGGCCTAGAATCTTAATACGTGGTTTAAAAATTTTGCTGTAAAAAATGAAAGCTGACAAGATTCTATTTAGACTACTGGTAAATAAAAATATTAAATAACTAAATAAAAGTCTGCCTTTTACCTGATGATTGCTCTTCCTCCAATCAGTCCAAGCCCTTTCAATGTGGTAGCCTTCAACCATTCCTCACCAATAATCTTGAAAGAATGACATAAAAAGTAAAAGGTCATCAAAAACCCTACATATAACTGTTTAAATTCAACTTGATCTTGTCATTTTTTTAACACAGTTAAGAGAGTTTGTTTGTTTCTCATTTGGGTATGGTGTGTACACTCTAATCATGTAGATAGATGCCATGCATTAGAATAGTCTGTCATTTTTCTATTGCTGACTGTTTCCCATGAAGAGGCTTCAATTGTGCCTCACGCCACACAAAAAATGTAAACATGTGGGAAAAGGTGCAGGTACAATAGACCATTTTCGTAATGTTATCAAATTTAATGCACAAATCTTTATCAAGTGCCTTGTTAAAATTATTTCATTCACCCGTTATGAATAATTCTATTTCAATAGTCAGAATACAAATCGATACATTAATTGTTGCCAAGAAGGAGAAACATTATGACTTTATTATCCTACTAACAATATGTTATGTATGCAATTTGCATTCTGATTATTGAAATACAAATATTTGTAATAGGTGCAAGAAATAATTTGTAACGAGGCACTTAACAAAGATTTGTGCATTAAATTTGATAACATTACGAAAATGGTATATTGGCATAGGTAAAGGTGCCTCACCTCTGACACTAACCAGTTATGTACTTGATTCTCTTACTGCCATAGGCTTAAAGGGATCCGGTAACTTTGTCCCAGATTCTGAAACAAAATCCTGGATTCAGCTCATGTTGCAATGATAATTATAAACCTTTAGGTCAGTCAGGAACCCCATGACTTTTACAAGCCCATCGCCTGTCTGATTATCAAGATATTTATGATTGGAAACCGAAACCAAATTTTTCGTTTTTTCTAACGGTTTTCATAACACTACACTACAGTCTATTGGGGAAACGAGTATGGTAAGACCGGTCACTCAAAGATTTGTTACTTTTTTGAGGCACTTCTTGATCATTTTGAAGCACACTTTTTTTAGGGCTTCAATATTACAACATATAACAGACTCTGATAACACGTAGGGCCATGCACCTCAGATTTAACATTGTTAAACGATGCCTTTAATACACGATTCACTATATTCCTCTCAGCAAATGGCTAATAATCGTACAAAGCAGGAATAAGTTATGAATCGATCTATGAACTTAGTTACCTCCTCTCTCATGTAGATGCAGACTGGATGAACAGCGGTCCCACTGCTGGATGATGAAGGGCATGTCAAAGACGGTCTGTACAGAACAACAAATGAAGAGATAAAAGGGGGATAGTATCCCTATGCATAAATAGAAAAGGCTTGCATATTGAGGGTTCAGTGACATAAAGACGTAACTCGATATTTTGCCCAAATGATTATTTGATATCAAAATGTTCAGAAAAATGTGGGCTTTCCAGGAAACACAAAGACTTAACCCCACCCAACACCCCATTGAAGTCAGTGGCTTAAACGACTTTTTCTCAAAATGGCCAAAATGGAGTTCGTCTTTGTGTCACTGACCCCTCGATATCTTGCACACAATGCAAACTGCGTTCGGTCTTTTGTATAAATGTACCGTATTTGCCGGCGTAAAGGCCGCAGTATTTTTGGAAGAGAAAATTTCAAAAAGTCGGGGTGCGGCCTTTACAACGAAAGAGTAAAAAAAAAAAAAAAAAAAAAAAAAAGTCAAAACCAACACGAATTTGCACGTATGGGACTAGAAATGGTAAAATAACAATACCACTATGGTACAGGACATTTCCAAACATCTTACCGACAATTTTATCTTGCATTGTTGACATGAAGACGAAAATAAACACAACATTTTCTGATAGATCTTGATCTAAGTTCGTGCCAATGCATTGCAAAGGTAAAGGAAGGGACAGTCTAACGGAGCTACCGTGATCCGAAGTCGCCATTTTGTTTTCCCATTTCATGCAGTTTCGCATTACACCGTACATTGTGGTAGGGGTATATCGGACACCAAATCTGCCTGCGATCACTTTTTTAGCTAAACTTCCGGTAAATTACAAGAATATGGATGAATTTGGTATGTTTGTAAAAAAAATAAATAGTGTTTTCAAGAAAATTATGATTATTTTGTTTTGTCCGTTTTTTTTTTTTTTCCTTTTTCCTTTTTCCTTTTTTTTTTTCCTCTTTGAAATGTCAAAGTTGGGGGTGCGGCCTATGCGGCGGTGCGGCCTTATCACCAGAAAATATGGTACATGTAAGCTGACACCCTTTGTCTTAATCATAAAATTGTGGCAATATCAGATAAAAAGTACCAACTGTTGCAGTCCTAATAGAAATTGTAGGGAAGATATACGAGAGATAATATAAATACAGGCACCTTTGTGGATAATTTTTAAATGAAATATTTTCATGATTCTACACTATCAGAAAAAACAAAAACAAAAACAAAGTTGTAGACACTACACAGTCGATGTATATTATCAAATAATCTGAAACAGTGATCTACTCATACTAAAATCCATGCCTTACTCCATATTTTGTCTCTTGGTGGGTGAATTGCTTACAAATTCCACATTGCCTATTTACCATTTGGTTCTTATGAATGGGTGGGGGCAAAGTGCAATCTGTTAGAAACAGACTGTAGGGTATGATGATCGATGGTGCATTACATACGCTGTAGTGTTATCATGCACATAAAATGTAAACTTAACTCTGCATAACTTGAAGTCACACAAGCCAAAATTTCTTTAAAGGGACTCTGTAACACTGTTGAAGGTTGATGAAAATACTGTGTTTTTTGTGTATGAAATGTTACTTATTATATTCCTTTTACTGTAATAACCCTCTAACATGCAAACAATCCTGAGAAAATGGTTTTCTTTGAAGATGTCACTGTGCAACACCCTCTAAAAGTAAATTCTCCAAACCTTTTTTGAATTTTCCTAACTGTTTATCCATGAAAATAAGACATAAGACAGGCTTTTAAAAATCTTTCAACACTAAAAATATCTGGAATGGTTTAGTTGATTCATTGCTTTGTGACAATTTACATTCACCTAAAATGTAATTAAATTGTAATACAATACATGTAGTTGGGAGAATAAAGGAATTGATCAGATTAGTTTTTCCCCAATTTCTATCATTAATAATGGTCTGTTTTCACTCAAACTTTCATCTTGCCTTTAATTGTACATCTAGCATTTAAATCACTACCTTAGCACCATTTTCTCTCATCTGAACAATGTTACAAAGTCCCTTTTAGTCAAATTAATTTTGATGACCAAACTATGCAAAACATGTATTATTTACACTTCCTAAGTAGAATTTTGCATTTATAAGTTGTACTATCCACTTATGCAGAATTAACTGTATGATGGGATTCCTTTTTTATACTATAGGCCACATCCCTATTACAAAGAAATGAAAGAGAGCCTGGCTCGATTCTCACCTGTCGCTACTCTGACCCTCCCAGTGCTGTAGAATGTCCCATAGCGATATCGTAGAGTCAAAGCTATGCTGGAGGCGTTCGCCCGTGGATAGCTGCAGCGCCACCATGGTCGAGCCAGATAGACTGCGTGATACGTCCGCTTTGACCAGCTCTAGCTTGGCATTGTTGATCAGGTTGGCATAGCGGAAAGGTACCTGGACGTCAAGGATGGTTCTCTGATGTCTGGAATGGAGAGTAAAGGAATAAATCATTCTTTACAGTGGATATCCTAAAGCCCATCTGTACTAGTGTACAGGAGGGATTAGACCACCCTGCAAGGTTACTGACAGGTGGTTATCTCATCAAATCAGCTTTCAATTAACATAAGACAAAGTGGATCATGGGGGACCAATGGTCACCGATTAGGCATTGTTTGCTTTATAGAGGGCGCAGGTAGCTATAAGTAGTGCAGTGGGGCTTTAATATAATAGAGTCAAACCTGTCTTAGTGGCAACCTCTCTGTAAAGGCCACCTGTCTATAGTGGACATGTAATGTGTCTCCCTTCGAGAAAGAAATTTGTGTTTAAGAACCAGTCAAGAAAAGCCACTACCGTAGTCTACAGTGGCCACTTTTTCTGTTTACCGTGAGTGACCGTAACAGACATGTTGACTGTACTAATATTAACTACTGACCATTACAGTGCATTGTTAACCTTACTGATCAATTGTTAACAAGATTTGCTCTCTGATGTCATTGGAGGGAAACTCAGGTAGAAATCCAGGATTATCTAGAGTGGTTATCCATGTAGTACTATTGGTAATCATGAATAGCACCAGTGACAATTATTATTATTGTTAATAACCTTTTTTATCAATTGATGATAAGGACCTGTCGGCTGGCTGCAAGAAGGCCACAAGAACTATGAATTGCCAATGGCAGTACCCACCTTCTTGCAGGCAGGCAACTGACTACTCTACAGCAATTAGAAATTTAAATATAATTGCATTGGGATGATTGAGATATTTATTTGACAACTACATTTATTTCATAAGGATTTTCAATAAGGACTTTAGGTATTTCACGCACTGCATTCATAAGGATTGTTCACTGATATTTGCTAATTTTAGCTCGTAATGATGTCTGTCTTGATGAACAACCAATACGAGGCAAGAAGATTGGCATACATACAGTATATCTTCTTGCCTTGACACAAGTATGCCTGATAAACAGAGTAAACTAAAATTAACTTTAAAAATTTCTGTCAAAAAATGAAGCACATATTCTAGAGAAATTGGAAGGTCTAAAATCTCAGAGAACTTACTTCAAGTTGTAGTCATCTGCGTTGAACTTCTGTTTCTTACACACTATCTCAATGACCTGAAAAACAAGATTGTGTCAAGATTGTAATACTGATAATTACATGAACTCACTAAACCATCTACAATATTGTGAATATAATGTCATATCTTAAGTTTATACAGCCGTAGTGAAATCTATTAAATCATGATCAGGCATATTCAGACTACTGATTCTACACTGCTCAATTTATTAAATGTTAAAGGTTTCTTGCAATATGTGCATTGAGTATGTTAGACATGGCAAAGCCAAAGAGATTATCGTTAATTTATTCAACACAAACAAAAATATTATGTTTCCTCATAAGTACTTTTGAGGGTTGTTTCACAATCATAAGTACAAGATCAACATCCCGACACTGTCGCTTGACTTGTCACTTGTCCGCTATTAATGTTGCACAAAACGGTCTTTGCCAAAACGAGCGACAACTTCCCCGAACGAGAAACTTGTCACGACTACAAACCTGTCATATTTTCTTAGAACACCATCACAAGTCAGCTTAAAATGGGTCTTTGGCAGTGAAAAAAATTAATACTGACAATTTATTCAAAAATCTATTCCTTGATCTCCATGATAATAGTTTATCAAAAAGTTCTTAATATTGGTTTTAATAGAAAAGTATCATACAATCACACAAACTATATGTTTTAATGCCTCATTCAGGTCTTTGTCCCTTTGACACAATGTAACCCACCCTCATATTACTTGTATCCTTCTGTATAAATATTACATGTTCTGGTTTTCTGAAAGAGAGTTGAGTTTTGATCACCATTACATTTGTAGACCAATACCTTCTTTCTAGCTGGCTCTCTCTTCATCTAGTGTTTTACATACCGGTATATGTGGAAGTTCATAATGATGTACCGTAACTGATTTGATTCTCCAAAAGTTTGGAGATAATAAATACTCTCATATGACTCCAGAATTACAAGTCTCTCCTTGCAACTTCATTTTATGTACCTCTCCTACTGCCAATATCTCATACACCAATCCCAACACAACATGACTCAGTATTAAACATAGTTGAAGGTTGATGAAAAAACTGTGAAGTTTTTGTATGAAATGTTATTTATTATCTTCCTTTTACTGTATTAACCCTCTAGCATGTAAAAAATCCTGACAAAATTCTCTAACCACAAAGCTATTTATGGTTTTCCTTGAAATTCTCCTAACCAATTTTTCATGAAAATAAGACATAAGACAGGCTTTTAAAAATCTTTCAAGTTTCAACATTTAAATGTCTGGAATGGTAGAGTATATGGAGCCAATTTATTGCTTTGTGACGATTTTAATTCACCTAAAAAGTAATTAAATTGTAATAATATAGTTGGAGAATTAAGGAATCGATCAGATCAGTTTTCCCAATTTTCATCATGATGATGTCTGTTTTCACTCACAACTTTCAGATTACATTTAATTGTACATCTAGCATTGCAGTCACTTAACTGTACCTAGGGTAGAGTGCCCAGTATTCGGTCACTTAAGGGGAAATCACTAATATTTTGAATTCTTACCTCTTTTATTTGGCAATCTACCCATCAAAAGAAAAGAAATTTATTCCTCTAACAGGATTTTATAGTCACTTAAAATATAGAATAATGATAAGCAAAATACTTCCGAAAGAAGACGGAGCATTTTTCTGCCCAGAATTCGGTCGCGCCGATTAGAATTCGGTCACGCGATTTGTGCGTGGTATCTCTGTTGCCAAAGAGCGAAGCGTATTTGCGCACTATTTTCACACAATTGCGCGATAAAGCACTGAATGTCAATGCGTTGACCGAATACTGGCCGAGCGATACCGCATGGCAAGGGTATCGTATAAATACCTCTCGCACATCGGCAAATGCGTCATTTGCAAATTCACTGCGATGGAGTGAACACGGAAGTGATTCTCTTCACACACGTTCTAAATTCATTGCGACAGCACACGCAGTTGTTTCGCTATAGACTTCTACATATGGCTATGCATGTTAGCGCATGTGCTAAGAGAACGCAGAAGTGCAGAAAGTCTTGCGACACTGACCAATTTTGAGCTAAGTTGGAGATCTTTCCGGGGCCCTAAATCTGATTTAATTTTGAGAGTTAAGGAAAGTTGTTCAGCTGCTTGATTTGTGCAAGTTTCGTGGCTCGCAAATTATTTTTAAAATTGTTACAGCTGTCGAAACGGCTGTCTGACCGAATACTGGGAATTGACCGAATACTGGGCGCGCTACCCTAGTCCTAGTTAGCACCATTTTCTCTCATCTGAACAATGTTACCAAGCCAAGATAACCAAGATTTATATTATTTTTCCACTAATTGGTCTACCATAGAAAAGGTGACTGCCAAAGAAGAAACAGTCTGTATTTACAAATCCATGAGAATGACAACATGTTAATGTGTAGATACACATGTATTTCTCCACATTATTTTCCATTTTCAAGCATAACCTTGTACCTTGGTACAAAGTTACGAATCATATCACATAGGTTTTTAATAAGTAAATGTTAAAACCATGACTTAGATTTAGATTGAGTCATTAAATATCTTGTTATTATTTCCTCAATATGAATAAAATCAGGGTATGGTCAGGGAGATGCGACTTTAAGGGAGGTCCTGTCTCGAAAGATTTTCCCCGAGGGACAGATATTCAGGATTAACTTGGCTATTACTTGGCTTAACAACAAGAAATGTAACCCTCTCCAGCCATCAAATCCAACAACAGCCGCCCTCATCACTCAGAACCCCTCTGGCAATCCAAATGTTACGAAATTGTTTTTAATGTTTCTCCCATTTCCATTTCTTTTGTACAAAACTGAAGGATGTGTGCAAAACTTATGTACTTTTTAGCACTAATGTTTGTACGAGGTCACTACCGTCTACGGTTAAACCTCAAACTTTTTGTAGGACTAAGACTAGAATGGTCAACAATACATCATGAACAAAGGCAGCGCTCCAACTTCTACTTCTCTAGCTGAGCAATGCATACTGCTAGTGGCGGTCTACGGGTCATGAAAATATCCCAGGCCGATGGCGACGGGCAGAATTAGACATGCCGTTTGCTTCAGCAGCTTTTGCAAACAATGATACAGCATAATTTCTGAAGCAGAATTAAACTACAATCTTCCAAAAGCACAATTCCAGTCATACGCCACTTCAAAACTAATACTTTTTTTTTTATAAAATCAATGCAAACTCACCTCTAGAATTCTCGTATTGGGAGAAACTTTGACAGTTTGTCGACGTCCATTCGGACAGAGAACGTTCACGTTGGATGCCATTTTCACAATTTACTAGTCTTCTTCCAGACATCCTTTTTTTTCTTCTTCAAAGACTATTAAAATCGGGACGTACGTGCGACTAGCTAGATAGATTAGGGGGGGGGGGGGGGTGGGTAGGAGTTGTAATAAGTTGGGTACTACTAAAAATGATCGTGTTGTGACGTGATCATAACTTATTCGCATTCACAGAGTCATAGCTTAAAGGGTCAAGTTTGGGGTCATTTTGTAGAAACCTATAAAACTAAAGTTTGCATTAAAGTTGTATAAAAATTTGATCATTTATAATTGGACCAGACGAAAATGAGATACCGTACTCAAAATGACATGCTGTGAATTTGAAGTGAATTAATCATGTACAGTTGTACTTTCTAGTTATTTTAAAGATAAAAGTTAACGTATGTTTTGTTGTGAAACATGTACTAAAGGAACCTGTCTACAAAGACCACCTTTTGTGTTTCCCTTGGGCGGTCGCTATATAGACAGGTTTGACTATATTACTGCTACAACTACTTCTACTATTTCACCACAACCAAAACAACAACAATCACCCCTAGCATGTCTACGCCAGCTACTAACAACTTTTGATTTGTATTTCTTGTTCTTTTCACTTTTGTATGTTGCCACTTTTTGCCCACTCACAAAAGCCAAGCATCAGTTTGTTTTTGCAAATACACATTTCAAATGATTTAAATCATTCTATGGGTACAAATATACAAAGAGTAAATTAAATATAATTTAAAAAAATGAACTATTTATTACAATCAATTGATTCCCAAAATATTACATTTCCAAGCTTACAGCATAACTCAATTCTAAAAAACTTGATAGTTAACGCAAATTTCACAACATGTAAATATTTTATTTAATACAATTTTTTTATTTGAAAAAAAAACAACCTTAAATCAAGGTTACTATATCTTTAAAGAATAGCAATTAAGAGACATTTAATCGAAGGAATAAACCAAGCAATGAAAATCTAACCAAAAACTACATCTTCCCTTCATCCTTTCCCTTTTTACTCTCCCTGCCTATTAAAGTAAGCAAGTTTCCTAGCAAACCTGGGCTAACCGTTTTTATATATGCTTAAATCTTAAAAATCTCAGGATAAAAGATATCTTCCTCATAAATGCATGTGTAATCACACCTTTCAACAACAAAAAATCCTTTTGGTCATGTTTTAAAAACTGTCTGAGAAGCACCATTGCTGTGACTTTTTTTTACTACCAAAATACAGTATATTTGAGCTTATCATCAGTGTCTATGAAGCTATTATTTAATTGTCTATTTCGTCAAATGCTTAAGACAGACGTATGAAATAATTGCAACTTTGATAGATTCATAGAGATTCACTATGAAAAAAAGTTCCATATATTTGCAAATATCATAAAGTGAATGATCAAATCATCATGTAACATAGCATATCTCATTAACATGGATTTGACACTTCAATTTGTTGATTAAAAACTGTTGTTTACGAAAAACACAAAAGCACCTTGACCAGCTTTATAATCACAAATGATAAATAGTATTCTGTGTACCATTCCAAGAAATTGCAAGAGTTCAGTGTTTCAAACAAGAAAAATCTAGTCTTTTTTTCTTCTCAATGACTCAGAATGTGATTGGATTCTTGGACACAAATTGATTAATTTTTTGTTTTTCCACCAAGAAATGTAATAATGATCTTATCCATTATTCTTACCATCTAGATAATACAAGCATTAAAAAAAAAAGAGTATGTACATTCACTTGTAAATTTGCCAATGCTCCATGATGCACGAAGCTGAAGAATTTTATTATACATCTCTGTTAATTTCTGATTTCTTATTCTGTTCACAGTAAGGATTCAATAGCCTAAAGAGCCATGCTAGTATTGAATGTTATATACCTCATTTTAAGATTCTTTACTAATCCTGTCTTCTGATTGGTTGAAAATGCAGTCATGTTCTTAACCATGCCCGCTAATTGAAATTCATAGTCATTTTCCCCGGCTCTACCGGTTTATATCCATTTTTCATAGCACTTTTTCCATGGCTGTGAAACGTGACGTCATTTTGCTGCGATCCCCATTTTGGTTTACGTGTTACCGTATAAGTTTCTTTTGTGCGATGACCGATGCGCAATTCCCTGTTCTACTGGAGCACAGCTTGTTGGATTTCATACTGTACACAAGTTATTGTTGGTGTTAATATTCATGACTTCAAAGAGATGGAAACCTAAATGGGTGAGTCAACATTTTCCTTTTTTTCGGTATATAAAATATATATTGACTGCTTTTAATATTCGAGGCATAGTTGTTTCTATAGGGTCTCGGGAAACTCACAACCTGCTATGACCCCGCGGCGCAAGCGCCTTGGGGTCATAGCAGGTTGTGAGTTTCCCTTGACCCTATAGAAACCACTATGCCTCTCAAAGCAGTCAATATATCCTTAATATTATGCTAAAATACAGCTACACTTAGTACATAAAAGAAGAAAATATTAAAAATCGACTCCACGCAGTCAAATATATGCCTCCACCTGCAACACAATCAGTATATTTTAATTACCGGTATCTGATTAAAGGTAGTAGCCCTCATTTGCAGACCCTGCTTAATTTTGATGAAGTAATATGCACTAGCACGATATTTTAGCACATTTATATTGACCCGTGACCTTTGACCTTTGAGTGCCTGACACGCAAAGGCATCAAAAGAAGGAGTAAAAGACTTTACAATGTACTTTAGAGTACTAATTGCAAACCATTATACAAATGTTTTAAAAGAGTTATACAAACTGTTTTGTATATGGTGTACGATGTACGTGAACATCAAAAGCGTGTAACAGATGGCAAAAAACATATTTCACAATTTTTATAAATAGAAATGTATCTATATCTAGATGTGCAATATCAATGGCAATGTCTGGCCAAGGCTGAAGTTCCATCAGCTACACACATGTTGTGAAGTAAAAGAAGTAAAATAAGTTTTCTTTGAGTTTCATCACATACAAAAATGACAAGCTGCTTTTTAATATATAATTCATGTATGCATTCATTTTAATATAAAACTTTATTGTCTGAATCAGGCTACCATGATAAAGGATATGAATTCAAAAATCAACAACAACAAGGATCATTCTTCGAAAAAAAAAAAAAACTAGAAAGACAATTTACCAATTAAAAGCCAACTGTCATATTGTGATTGAAAAATTTACAACACACTGGTCGACAGCTCTCTAAGAGAGAGTACTTGTATGTGACAATATCAGAATACCAACATAAGTTTGCTTCACATTTTGATAGGAATTTCTCACAGGAAATGGATCTGGTGTCGTTGCGACTTGCGAGAAACTGTCGGCTTTCTATCAATCCTGATCGTAGATATCATCTCTATCGTAATCACCGTCCAAGTTAACTGACATACCAACTGCTGGTGAAAGCAATAAGACAAGAATGGAAGGCATAAGAGAAAGAATGTCATTGGGTGGTTTACAATATGATGCTTCCTTTAAATTCACCAAGGCAAAAGTGGGTAGGGTTCTACCCACCCCCCCCCCCCCCCAACTCAGTGTTTAGGGTATGCATATGCATGTTCCTTCTCTTTGAAAGCACCCTCCTAAAACTGGTGAGTAAAGTTAATACGGGGCGACTTATTTTTGTGTACTACAAGCCGGACTTTGTTGCGTGAAAAGTAGCCCTTTACCAGAGACTTTTGGAACATGAATGCGGTCCCTCCATTCCCGGAGGGGGGGGGGGGGGGGGTTGGGGTTCTACCTCTTGGGCATTCTAACAGATCATTTTTACCTTCATTTAGAGAGTATTTAAACTTTTTTCCCCTGAGAAGTACATAATACTCAAAGCTGACATTAGTATAACAGCATGTATTACACAACACATTCAGAGAACATAGATTTTGCTCATCTATACGCATGCATTCGTTGGTACAGCACACATCAAATAGGCTGAAGTTCGACTGGAAGAGTAATAGACCTGCTTAAACAACAATTTGGAGTAGAAGAAAGATGTGTTAGACTGAGAGTCATGTGTTGCATGCACTGGACACCATTACTAGGCCTACTGACGATTCGAAAAATGGAAACCAGGGCATCGTTTCACGAAACAAGCATCAGTAAAAGTTCACTGGTATCTCATTGAAACACGTTTTTCAATTTAATATATGCATTTCAATGGGTGTCAGCAAACTTGAAGTTATGCCAGTTTCGTGAAAAGCTGCCATTTTCTCTAATTACAATGGTGGACGAAGTAAGACACAGCCATAAATCATCAGAATCATATACTGGAAAAAATATTTTGACAGGCAATCAAAGGTAGTGCCAAGTGTGGGCATGCATGAAAAGTATGATGATGCAGAAAATATAATTATTCAATTAAATAATGAGAAGGGATTGATGGTAACACAGGCATGTTAAGAGGAGTACTGTCGATTCGAATGCAAGGGGTGAAATAATAATAATAATAATAATAATAATAAGGGGTAAAAAATGAAGAATGACATGTGTTAAAAAGCATTATAAGATGGGTTCTAGAATCTAAGCAATCCCATTGGTCAATTGACATCACATGGGCATGCATTAGTTATTCCCACCGTGCAAAACATCTCCCATCACGCTCGATACCTGCCGATATTGTTTTTCGCGTAATTCAGCGAAATTGAATTTGTGCATAATTTTCAAGCGCTGATCTAACATTAGATCTACATCTAATATCTATCTATACTCTAGATCTAGACTATATTGTAAGAATGTATGCCGACCCGTCTTAAAAAATAAATATGCACTGTTTCGCTCGTGTGTAAGGACAGTTCCAGAGCACTCAGGTTAGTCAGTGCATTACAACCTATGTGCACTGATTAAACTTTGTGCTCTGGCCCTGCCCTAACACACTCGCAACAGTGCATTATTTGTATAATTTTTTCCTCTGTAACCTTCCTTGCTATTGAAACATGCATATAATCTTTGCTATTACAGCTTACACATTCAAATCACACAATATTCAAAAACAAAGAAAGATGTAATAGGTTGGATTCACAATTAACAGCACCCCTGCCGGCTAACCGCGACGGGCAAATTTTTCAGCTCTCGGGTTGACATCTTTGAACCAGTGCAGATCGAAATGACTAAAGAGGTCACTGGTCACAGAACTGTGTAAATGCATTCAATGAGATTGATTGTTCTGATATCAGCGCAAAATTTTACCCCTGATAAGCTATTAAAACTTTCTCCACAAAAATGCCCTTTATACCCCTTTCAAACTGGTCTGATTTTCATTGGATGCATCCGGACGCATCGGATGAAATTGCCAGTATGAATGCTACAGAGAAGAAAAAGCCGATAGAATAGCCGATGAAAAGAAGAGAAATAGGCGATTAAATTCTCCTGGTCAAGAGCAGGAGAAATTCTCATTCTATCGGTGTGACACCGATGAAAGAGCCACTGTGAATGCGTTTGGGAGAAATCAGCGATTAAAACACTGATTAAAATGGTCAAAGGTCGCAGTGTACACGCGCTTTATCGTAACCAGCTGTGTTTGTTGACTTATGGTTGAACATGCTGCATGCTAGCTAGATGGAGCACGGGCTTACTAATTACACAATAATTCTTCACTACCGGCTAGGGCTCGCCACAGCGAGTGAATTTCACCGTCAGTATGAAAGCGACAGCAGGGAAAACGGCGGTTTCACTTTTGTTTACATAAGGAAAACTTAATCAGTATTTTCATCGGTGTGACTCCGATTGAAGCCAGTTTGAAAGCAGTATAAGGGTATATAATAATGCCACAGCTGGTATTTTTGTTGACTGCCCAAAATGCATCACATGAAGTCGACTAAAGACTGGCGTTGCTAGATGGCGCAGTGAATTGTGAATCCACCATACCATGGTCACCATTTAATCACATAGCCGGACAATTTGTCCATCTTTAGAGAAAAAATAAAAAAATATAACAGATTCATTCAATGCATTACATTTTTTTCTAAAGCTCTTTGCCTGTATACAAAAATGTTGTCCTATAACCTACATCGATTGCTGATATGACCACCAAAAAAAACATGGTATGTGTTTGCCAATGAAGGATGAATTATACTGGTTTAGACATGGTAGTATTTCCACATTTTTTTTTGTAGTGTGTTTGGGAGATTAAAGAAATGAAACAAGCATGATAACAGCATGAGAAGACTGAGGTGGGATGAGAGGAATTTGCATGTCACAAAGCCTATAGAGTACTGAAGCTGTGACGTCATAAAAATCTATTTTTAGAATTTCTTAATTTTTTCTTCATTTTCCGAAAGAGCATCAAAAATAATGCCCAAATGTCGAAAACCAATTGAATATGTTAAGTTTTGGCTGAGATATGACCATCTGAATGAATATACTCAGTGTTATATGCTCTGGCTCCTAATGGTTAGGAGCCAGAGCATATAACACTGAGTTCCTATAGGAAATATATTCATTCAGATGGTCATATCTCAGCCAATACCTAACATATGTAATTGGTTTTTCAACATTTGAACATTATTTTTGATGCTTTTTCGGGAAATGAAGAAAAAATTGAGAAATTCTAAAAATAGAATTTTGATGACGTCACACTTCACCACTCTATGAAATAAAGACAACAGTACTGCATGACAACAATATCAATCAATGTGTATTGTACCTTCTATGAATCGAACACAAATGTGGCTGACCACAACTATAAGTTATTTGTGTCTAAAAAGGGGTGAAGAAAGAGAGAAATTATGTGGAGAAAAAAAATGAAGAGAAGATTGAAAATTTGTGAGTATTCTGCTGGAAGCAAAGGCTTAATGAACATGAATGTACTTGTATACAGACAGATTGGCTTATGGGAAAATAAATGCTAATACCTAAAGATTACTTCAGATGATATACAGTTACAACTAAATTATTCATACCCCTTGTATAAAAATGAAAGGTGGACTGGTTGAATTAGGGTCTATTTTTTAATACCTTAGATGTAAGGTAAGTTTTAATTTGTCACATTCTCAAGGGACATAGATTGGGACAAATCAATAATGAATAATTAAGTTGTTAACTGTACATATAGAGTCATTTTGAGGAATACTAATGGTAATACAAAGTTTTGGGAAATTTTGAAAATTGGGTGGATAGTGATTCTTCACAATTTTGATATATTTGGATGCCCCTGTGGAGGTATTATCAGCACTAGAAAATTTAGCCCTTAAAACACTGATGCTTTCAAGAAAAATTGAATATACAATTTTACCAGTGCTCCCTGTAAATTTTGATAACTTTCAAATAGCGCCTACGGCCGTACAATGGTAGCCGCGACCATGAAAATCTCAGAATATGTAGTTGTGATATATAACTTCCAAACGGGAATAGCTAATCGGTCGATTCTAGTCAAGAAACATTGTTGTATAGCTTAATTAATATCTTGACCTTGAGAGGGAGCTATACAACATAAAGAGTTTATTAATTACAATTTCATAACTTTAGACTTGATTTCAACTGTGACAATGATCACTGAATATTGTAGGATCGCATATGCTTCCAACAGGCGCGTACGCAGGATTTTTTCAAGGGGGGTGTTTTAACATTTATAAATCGGGCCGAAAATTTTGCAACGACTCAGCCAGCTGCTGAATAAGCAGGGGGGGGGGGGGGGGGGGGGGGGGTAAGAGGTCACTTTTTTTTTTTTTTTTGTCCCAAAAAAATCGCAACGACTCAGCCGACCTTTGAATAAGCGGGGGGGGGGGGGGGGGGGGGGGGGGGTAAGAGGACACATAATCCATAAGGGGGGGGGGGGTTTACACACAAAAAATGACCAAAGGGGGGGCTTTAACCCCCCAAACCCTCCCCCTGTGTACGCGCCTGGCTTCCAATATGTTCATTTGAACCAAATTCATGACCCCATACCAAAACTTTGTATTACCTTTAAAATCACTAACATGTTATGTCAACATGAGCATAAATATCAATGGCAAGGGAGATCCTACACTCTTTCTTCTATCACATTTCTATATCAATGTATTTTAAACAAACATGTAGATAATGCCTCCAGCATTGTATCTTAAAGGGATAGTTGAGTTCTGTTTTCAGACCGCAAATGCCTTCAAAGTGCATGGTTATTGCTCTTATTCTTATCTATGACATTTATAGTGCCTTTTTAGAACCTAAAATTGCTATAAAGGTAATTTTAGATCCCAAAATGTGTGAAATTTAGCCAATACGATCATACCAATTCAGCTTCACTTTCAAAAAAGCATGGTGACTGTTAATTAATTATTCAATTAAAAATAACAATACATGAGCCGGCTAATTGTGGGTAATATAAGCAACACGAAAATGGCAACAAAAAACCAACATCAGCATTGGCTGGAAATACGTCGTAATAAGGCGTTATTTTGTTTTTTTCAACGTTTTTTCAAATTTTTCAAAATATCTAATATTTGTGGTGGTACAAAAGTATTAGAAATCGTTATATTTCAGCCGTTTCTGAGCCGATTTTGATCAAACAAAGATGATTTTGTCATTTAAATATTATGTTCTTTCAAATTTGTCACTCAGTTTTTCATTATCTCACAAAAAATTATTTTGTGTAGCGCCCTCTGCAACAGAACTCAACTATCCCTTTAATATTCAATAATAATAACATTCCATTCTTGTAATCCACATCATTGTTACATGTATTATAGAAAGTCTCTACTCTCTACGCACTTCTAAAGAGCTTTGTTATTGAAGAATGCTGAAAAGATATGGAACTCTAGGTACTGAAAGCAAGCAAAATTTTGTAAAAGATTTCTATAACGAAGAAGGACAAAAGAAACAATCATTTATAGAATACAAGCAAAGTTTTGAGCTTTAATGGCATTAAATGAGCAATAGAACTTCACATTATGCTAAAGGTGCTATTTTGCTGGAATTGAGTGAAAGAAAACTCTACCATCCATTCCAAAGGGCCATTGCGCTGGGAGTGCAATAGTGGAAAGAAATAAAAGATAATGGCACATTATCAAATTTATGCCAAGTTAGTTTTCAAGAGGTATTATTCATCTTTATAGATTACTCATTCTATTGTAACTCTTGTTAGAAAAACAAATCACACACACAAAATAAGTCAAAAACAACATCAAAAAAGGAAATATGTGTAGTTAATGAGGTAGTCTATGACCCACAGAAATGTAAACATGTATTTACATATGTCATATCATTACATACATTTCTATAAGAAGCCATTGGAATGTGTGGTAGTTGTTTATTTTATTACATTAGTCTTGGTTATTGATCAAGAATAGATTGAAGGATTTGAAGAATGAAGGAGCTAATGCACATATATTGTTTTTCCTTGTTTGTAATCTTTCATAGATCATATTTTCCTCTGCACTTTTCTGAACTGTGAATATTGTTGTGAAACTCACAATACTACAATGACTATAGTGAGAAGGAGTAATGAGGAATTTAAGAAAAAATAAATTAAAATACATTAGGCTTGGTTATTGATCACACATTTTTGAGATTTGAAGAATGAAAGAGCTATGAATGTACATGTATTTTTTCTTGTTTTAAATCTTGTGATACCAGTTTGAAAGAAGATAATATGTTCCTCTGCACTCTTCTGAATTATGAATGTTATCATGAAACTAAACATACTAAAATGACATATAGTGAGAGGGAATAATAAGGGCTTTAAGAAAGAAAAAAAAAAGCTTACCTGGGTCATTTTGTCTTGATTCGAGTTGTGATTTCAACGTTTCTATCTCAGCATTGAGTTTTCTATATTCCTACAGAAAGAAAGGAGAAGGAAAACCAGTTTTAATATAGAAAGGCCATTTTACAAATATCAAGAATAATTTCTCTTACAAGTCACAGACATATCATGAAAACCATTTTTTTGTATTGAGCAACGACATCTTCAAATTGAGAAGCAACTGGATAGCAATAGCATCATACTCTCTCTCTCAAAGACAGGAAACTTTTTGCTGCAAAACATATTTTTCCAGGGCCCCATCTTACAAAAAGTTGTGATTGATCCAAATCAATCGCAAGTTTGCAGTCTCCTATCTCTTATGTACATAGTTGCGATTGATATCAACTCTTTGCATAAGACGGGACCCTGGTCTATCAATGATAATTGATATTTAGTGAAACATACCTGTATTGCAAATTTGCAGATAATTGAAATGATCCCTCTTCAAATTGGCCAAAAATGTAGTGAAATTAAGAACTGGTCAATATTTAGAAACAGATGACAATATGGTAAGTGTTATAGAAAACCCTTTACTGTGCACAATACTAGGAACTGTGAATACATACATGTAACTAGCTATTCCTGAGTAACTAAGGTGCGCATGAACATTACTGCGGAACGTCCTTAAATGAGACAATCGCATCATATGTCCTCTGCGACCTCCGACCTTTACATTGACTCACGTCTTTACATGTGTCCAGACTGGTGAAATCATCAGGATGCGTCTCATGATCTTGTTTGGCAGGAAGGGGTCTCTGTTTGGGGTTTAGAACGTACCCCGCAGACTCAAAGATAGTATGTAGCATCTTCTTATAGCCCTGTACATCAGAAAGGACAGGGAGACAGAGAGAGAGAGAGAGAGAGAGAGAGAGAGAGAAGGGAGCAAGGGAGCAAGGGAGAGAGTGAGGCAGTAAGGATAACAAAAAATAGAAAGAAAGAAAGAAAGAGAGAAAGTAAGAAAGAGACAGAGAGAAAGAAAGAAAAAGAAAGAGAGAGAGAGAGATAGAGAGAGGTGAAGAGAGAGAAAGAGGGAGGTTGGGTAGGGAGGGGAGAGAGAGTTGAATGGAGGGAGAAATAGATAACGATAGACAAAGAGACAGAAAGGGAAGAGATATAGAGAGGGAGAAATCGGAGATAAAAAAAACACATTTGAATAAAATGCCTATCCAAATATACAAACAAAGCAAAGGTCATTTACGAACGACTTGCTATTGATAACCACTTCCATCTCTATCGACCCCTCGCCAAATATTGCCTAAGAATATGGGTACACTAATATATCTTGAAGAAAATGTAACATATCTGCTTTATGAACATGAATTTTAACAGGAAACTAAGCCGTTGAGCAGCACCTACCCAAATGCTACTATTTACATCAATTACATGTCAGAGTATGAAGAGCTCAAGTCACATTAGCAGTGCATATACAGTTAAACCAGTATATAAAGACCGCTCAAGGGAGACAAGAAAAGCGGTCTTAATGGACAGGTGGTCTTTATGTACAGGTTCCTTTAATAAAGGTTTCAATGGGAAGCTCTACTTAAGGGACACAAAAAATGCAGTCTTTATAGACAGGTGGTCTTTCTATACAGGTGGTTACTAAAGCAGGTTTGACTATAGTACACCCTTCAAGGGTTGCCTAAATAAGGGTTCCATCACAACCTTTTTACCTTAGAAAGGGGAACAGAGTATTGAAGGTCCTTCTAAATCATTTTATTTTTTTATTTTCTTTATTTTTTATTTATTCGGTTTAAAAACATCAACACGTAAAGTTCAGGAACTCATAATGGTTGATTTACAATGAAATTGAATAGTGTAAACAAAATTGAACCAAAATATATTCACTGAAGAAAAATATGATGTTTTACGCACATGAAAATATGATTACAATACAATATTTAACGGCTAACTACATGTAGCACCACCAAGGCAAGAGATGAGGCCCCCCCCCCCCCAGTTACCCTACAAGTAGAACAATTTGGGGGTCGTGAGTGAAATTCTGAGGGTCAGTATGAGTTGGGGCCCCTGTTCGTAAGGGCCTCAGCAAAGATATTTCAAAGAAACTAGGGGTAAAGGTCTACTTGAACGAGACCAGCCTGAGCAGTTCACGTACCTGTTGGGTGACTTCTTCTCGATACAACCTCCCTTCTAACTCATTCCATTCTGCTTGTTGATCTTCACTCAAATTGGGATAAACTGGAGAGGGAGAGAAAGAGAGAGACAGACAGAGAGAGACAGAAAGAGACAGACAGAGACAGACAGATGAAAGCAAGATTCATGAATTTACTGGTGGATAAAACAAAATCTGAAGGATATAATGGGATAATTCATATTTTTAAGGATGTGTTTATATTACAATGTTAAATAAATAAACTGAACAGTGAAGGTTATTTCACAAACGTGTCAAAAAATGAAAAAATTAGATGCATATAACACCTTTACAAGGAGTATCAAATATGTTCAAGTGACCGTTACAAACCATTCGCCTTGCATCTCCTATACTATGAACAAAACAAACTCATCAAACATGAACCAAAATACTTATATCTAAAATCAATTCAAGCATTCTGATGACACCTCATCAAAACTTACCAAGCAATGAATGTTCATGGCAAACAAGTGGCGTACGGAAAACCATAGCATACTCGCATGTGACAGGCTCCCCTACATGTTCTAACTCATGCTTTGTACCGCATTTCAGTTGTACCTATGACAATAAGAATACAGTGATCATAATAACAACAATATTGAAAACTACGACTACCTGTAGTATAATGGTTGCAATTTTGATTACTTGTTTTAATCAGGGTACTTAACAATCATAATAATCATATTTGATTTGATAAGGCACTCTTTGTCAAGGATAAGTGCTCATAAAAAAAAAATACTTGTTATTATTAGATTCTTTTATAGTTATTATATCCGCAATGATGTGGTGCTAAAGGCGTCCCAACCATAGCTAATTTAACTAGCATACCAAGTACAGAGCTCATAGCATTCAAGAAATTCCTTTCTTCTAGGCACCCACTTTCCACACTGAGTCGAGAGCGACATCTGCATGAGTTCCAATGTAGCACTCAAAGTTTTTCAGAAAAAATTCCCATCAGATACTACACATAGTCCAAAGCTCATAACATTCAAGGAATTCCTTTCTACTAGGCACCCACTTGCCACACCCGGGTCAAGAGCGACATCTGCAAGTATATTCCAATGCAGCACTCAAAGCAATTAAGCAACTCTTCCTTACAGATACTACACCTGGGTCAAGACAAGCAAATGCAGATGAACTGCTTGTCTGGTGGGCACAAGCATCAGACAGAGATTGACAACAAAATCCTTTGGATGCAAAGGCAAGTGACCAGACTATCCCACCTCCTAGAAATACTTTTTAAAATAAAAACTAGAAGTAGGTACTCACTTTAACTTGTCTATTTTTCTGTCCACACGTATCTCCATCTCTGAATATCATGGACTGGAATGTGTTATTCACAATATCCCATTCTTCATATATCCTGTGAATGAGATATAGAGAGAGATGAATGGAATATTATACTTCTGGCACAGCAGTTCAGCTCAATTCACTTAGTTTCATTCAATATTATATTTAAAAAATGGATCTCCATAATAAAAACATGTAATTTCAGGTGGAAAATAAAAACACACAACTCGAATAACTCTCGTACAAATCAATCGCTATAAAACAGAATAAAGCACAGCTCCTAAACAGAAAAGGTTTTGTCTGGACATCTTAATGAATTTTTAAATTTAAAACAAGGACCAATTACACACTCCGGCAGTATCATGACTCAAGAAATTGAAGCATGAATTACTACACAGGTCTAAATATAAATGAATATATTTTTTAATATGTTTATGAGCAAGATTGAACATAAGTCATGATTTAAATCAGTCAATATTGATTACAATACCAGTGAGGGTAGAACATGACCCTCAAAATATCTGTAAATTCAAAAAATTTGCTTACTAGTTCTCAAGAGTTAAAAACTATTACAGTAACAGACTTCCTACAAAACTATCTCTCCTGTACAGATAGGCCTCATCTATCAAGGGGTGAACGATTACATGAGCTTAATATAATTCTACAAAAATATAATTACATTCATGGTATACTTTTAATTGTACATTACCATTGATTGGAACTAATGAATAGAGTGTTTGACTAAGCTTATTATTAAAAGAAGTGACTAAAAAAGAGATCAGAAAAGTAACTTACCCCAGTATTCCACTGTAGGGGTTCCATCTTAAGCTCTGCTCATGTTGCGTTACATTTTGAAACGGGCATAATTCATACTTGTAACTGTAATTAAAAACAAACAAAGAGTGTATACATGTATTACTTTCATCAGGGCTTCTTTGAAGTTTTAGCTTTACTCCTTTTATATCAATTTCTCTACTGAATGTTTTAATTATATATTTTATATCATACTATTTGCATGTATTTTATTATTTGTATATGTTGCATTTTTATTTGTAAATTCAAGATATATCAGCTTTGAGCTGTGACTTTGAATTTTTATCAATAAACCTTGTCAATTCAAATTCTCTCAAATTTAAAGGTTTTTCCTGTAAGTTGTAAGTTAGAGTAGCAGCAGGTATCTTCTAATATACTCACTCATTTTCTACTAATGAAAAGCATCTTCCTACTAATCTTCGTAAATGTGGTGGACCTGCAAAGTAAACGTAAAATAAAAAGTAATCGCTTAAATTCAATAGAAGACACATGTTGTCATCAGATAGCATCTCAAATATGAGGAATAGAAAATATTGAAATCTGAATATTGTAGGCTTTTATTTTAGATTACCTCATAATGAAATAATGTGATGAAGGTAACTACAAATTATCTTTGCCTTAACAAAATATAAAATGACATCAAACTAAATCATTTCCATCTTGTACTTAATATTACAAAACAGATTCATTTCAAAGAGTTCAATTATTTGCAGCGTTCATGCAACATACATTTGGTTTGAAATCAAGATTGCCTCATTACAGTAATATAGAATTGATAGAATTGCCATACCTGTAAAATTTGAAAATTGAACAGTTGGAAAAAGAGATTTAGGCTGAGCTGGAGCATTCCATTGCTGGTTGCTAACAAGAGAAAAAAATTGTAAAGAAAAAAAAAGCATGATTCAACACAAAAATGTTATTTGGGGAAATATTTAACAGGCGTAATATAACTATATAAGTAAAGAAATATAAGACATTTATCTACATTCACACTCAACCAAGACATAGCAAGTGAGTATCTGGTAGGATTCATTATTTGAATGCTCCAAGCGTTACAGTTGCCAGAGCTAAATAATACCAAAAGTCCCTGTAAGTACAAAGAAGATTCTGTATATTATAATGGTGTTATTGCATGAAAGGAATATTATTTGTAATTATTTTTAATCAATCCTGATTTGTTAGCATTACATTTGGAAATGTGGCCAGAGAAAAGTGTCAATCTTATATATGGAACAATCTAGTGATTGTGTACTTCTTTATGTGCATAGTATAGTAGCAGCTTGCTCATCATTACATACAGTGTAGTTTTAAAAAGCCATGTCAATATTTAAGACACAAAATAGAATTGATCCGTTATTTTGAAAGGCAGAAACTGAAGCATTTTCTTCTGATTTCATCTGCAATTTTACAAGCAACTACACAACTTGACTTACCCAAGATTTATAGGCTCCTCTACTAGTCTCATCCGAACCTCTTCACTGGAAACTGAGCCTACAATTTGAAAACATTAATAGAATATATATTTTTTAAATATCGATATCTGTATTTAAAGCTTTTCTACGATAATATATTGAATCAATCCTTACAGAGAGGGGAAACATTTTATAACATTTTTCATTCAATAAAAGCATCTCATACAACTTTTGAGTAAAGTTTGGATTATAATGAATTCTCAAGATTCAATCAAAAGAGTAAAACACTTTTATAAATTAAAATAAAATTGAAGTGTCCCCACACAAGGTTGTCCCTTACATAACTTTAGGTGAAGAATTCACTATCAGTTTTGTGTGTAAGATGGGGGTGTGTCCCGACACTTAACAAAATTGTAACCTTCTCTTTTGCCTTTGAATTTAATGAAATATTTGCATCAAATAGCACTAATTTATGCAGCACAAAACGTACAACCATTTGGTACAAGGGTCTGAAAATCAGACTATTACTTAGGTATTGCAATCATTTATGTCGATTCAAAAACTAATGGTCGTTAATTTCCCACAAAAAGCAATTTTCAAACCCTTTCGTTTAGAGGGAAGTTCTAAATAAGTATTGTCTTTCAAATGCCGTTGGAATTTAACCTTTTCATTTTTTTGACCTGCAAATGGGACATATTACCTTTAAAGGCCATCTGTACTAGTTTGGCTAGGAGGGATTAGACCACCCAGGGTGGTCACTGACAGGTGGCTATCTCATCAACTCAGCTCTCAATTAACATAAGAAAAAGTGGATCATGGGGGACCAATGGTCATTGAGGGGGTTGTTTCCGATATAGAGGGAGGAAGTAGCTACAAGTAGTAAAGTGGGGCTTTAAGAGAATAGAAGAGAATCATTTGATATAGCCAGGTCTACATTTGTAGGCCTATTCAATATTTGATTTTCATCTCTGTAACCTATGTAGGCTATGTACTGTAGCAGAATAATTACTTGAAGAGTCCCTGAATTAGGCAAACTAGCAGATGTAAGTAAATTAAAATCTTGCATCCATTGAAGGATAATAACAACTTGGATTGAAGTTCAAGAACTTTTCGACTTCAATTCAGGCTTTTCTTCTTCTTCGCCTCCTCTTACCAGTAGGGGCACTGGTCCGCAAATAAGGATCGTCCACATGAGCTAGGATCTTTTTGTAAATGCAGACAGAAGCGTCCGCAAAAATAAAGGATCGTCCATAAAAATGCGGAAGATCCTTATTTTTTAGGCCACGATTTGTTTACGAGGATATCCTTGTTTATGCAGACGATCCTCATCTCATTCTCAGACCAGCGCCCCTACTGCTCACTCACTCTCACTCAGGCTCTCTTCTCTTCTTTCAATTTCTCTTTTCTCCCCTCTTCTCTTCTAGCTTCTGCACTGTTCGTTCATGTCGCAGCCTCAACAGTCCCACTAGCACAAGATCTACACTAGTTCTATTTTGTGCAATTCCACATTGAAGAAAGTGAAAGACATGAAATAGAAACAAACCGAGTGGACCTTTTTACTTTGAGCGTGAAGACTGCATGCTGCACTGCAACTTTGTTAAACCGCACTGCACCGTCGTCTATGGCGGACATAGATCTAGACCCTACACAAAATTAAACGAGTGGGACTGTCATGCCTGCGACGTGAGGCGGAACGGTACAACACGAAACTTGCGATTTAACCATATTTACATCTCTAATATTGTTGTTAGATATCAATTACATACTCTCAATCAACTTCCGACTCATAAAATCGCACATACCTTGCTCAAACAGTAAAATAGCTTGAATAACATAGAACCAAATTTTGTGGACACAGTGCGCGGCCATCTTGACTTTGCAGTCGTGGAATATTGAAACTCCCGGATGTTAAATGTGCGTTCTGTTTGTAAACATGGAAGGTCATTGTACTCAGGAGCTTGCCTCCCGGTTTGCCTCAAGCCTCACAGTAAGAGCAATCATGATTCATGGTCTCACTCAAGTAGATGGGACTCGAGACAGAGCAGAGGTAGATCGGGGATTATCATAACCATATTTGTTTTTATTCATTTTTTGGGGGGAGGGGGGATGAGAAACACTGAATATAAACAGAAGAAGGAGGAGGAGGAGAAGATTAAGTTGTTTCTATATAGGGAAGAAGATGATCAGAGAAAATAATTATAATAATAACATGTTAATTAATCATTAGAAAATCTAATTTTAAATTCTAATTATCTTTACATCTCGTGACAATAACACTAAAAAGAACTTCAAAGATAATACAAAGTTTTGGAATGGGGTCATGAATTTGGTTCAAATGAACATATTGGCCGGAAGCATTATATGCGATTTTACAATATTCAATGATCGTTGTTGTGGTTGAAATTGAGTTTAAAGTGATGAAATTGTAAATAATAAACTCTATATGTTGTATAGCTCCCTCTCAGAACTAATACTACTAGCTTTAAAACAATGTTTCTCGGTGACTATATCGACCGATTTGCTATTCCCGATCGGACATTGTATCAGAACTGCATATTCTGAAATTTTCATGGTTGCAAGCAATTACCATGGAATGGCCTTATAGGCGCTATTTGAAATATATGAAATTTATGATTTGTGATTATTCGATTTCTGATGCAGAAGTGTTTTAGGGACTATATATTTTAATGCTTATATTACATCCACAGGTGGATCCAAATATATCAAAAATTTAAAGAATTACTATCCATCCAATTTTCAAAATTCCCCCAAACTTTGCATTAGCCATTACCTTTAAAAAAGTAACGAAACGGGATTTTTGTTTTGTTTATTAAGGGTCTCGTGTTGTATGTCCTGATAATAGGGAATGTGTTATTTGAACCATTCTGAGCAAAAGTCACTTTCAGCATCTTATGGTCGAGGCACCTGCCAATGTTAACCCATTTAGATAGGCGTGTATATTATGTACTATCAGTTGATGCATACAATTCTAGTAATAATTTCGTAAATAAAGAAGTAATTATATCGATAACAGTGATCACAAAATAACGAATATCTGCCAATTATATACAATAACCTTTTATTAATATTCTGAAGAAGAAAAAAAACACACGTCATCAATACATTCAATAAACCATCTAACTTACAATTATTCAATTTCTCTCCATGATCATGAAAAATAAAAAAAGAATACAAATGAAATACGCTATATAACATTTAGTGAGATTGAAGAAAAAACAGATAATAACCCTCGTTCAGATAGCATTTTTTCTTTTAGATAAACCTTAGACAACAATTAGACACATCACACATGCAGCGATTGAATTGCACAGACTGGAATGAATTAGACTTGTAAAGGTCGGAGAGTTCGGAGTACATGCATGGTAAACGTTATGCAGTGAAGGGTCACTCCTAATAATTTTCAAATTTGTTGTATCGTCAAAACATGGATGATTCACAGGTCTCTGTTATTTTTCCTTATGTAAATAAAAAATATCATCTACAGCAATATTTTAAGAAAACAGATGTTGAAGCAAAACACATCTCGGCGATTCTGTTAAAAGTGCACCGACGACAAAATTATGACATGTACGCCTACTTCTTTGTTTCGCCCATTAAACGAAAATCTCTTAAAAGGTCATTTATTAATAGTTCTTTCAGGTACTACGTATTATTAAATGGTCATGCCAAGAGACTTTTCACTTGTTATACGGGACATAAGATATTAAGATTTGAAATCATCCATTTGTATATCCTTGATCTTGCATCATAATATTTTAAATAAAATATTAAAGTCTGATTTATGACAACTTTAGGTTAACAATTGATCAGTATGAGGTTATCTTTTGAGAAATTCGCTATCAGTAGATATGGTTTATAATCCTAGCGTGAATTTTAACCTATTTTTTACAAGCATTATAGTTCATCCTTTCCCTTTCCGTCTTTCTTCGTCTTGGACTTTGAAGACTTCTTGCCAGACGTCTTTTTATCTTTCTTTTCCTCTTTGACATCTTCCTTCTTCTCTGCCGGTGGCTCATCTGTGACTTCGTCGGCGACTTCGTCGACAGCC